CCTTCAGAGGCAACAATCTTCAGAAGGCGCGAAAATAATAAAATGGTTCGATGCTACTGCTGAAGAGATCTCGCGGGACAGTCACTTTAAATTTTTTCATGATCGGTTTTTTAAATAATCATCGCAATGCAGAATGGCTTGAAATTTAAAATGCTCCTATTGGGAGTGATATTGCGGTGGGATCAGAAAGATTATTATGGAAATGATATTTTTGCCTTCATGAATTTTGTTATAGTGATCGCTTACATTCTTGTGGAGTTTTTGCCTGTAGCCTGGTGCCATTGCCAAATTTAAAAGCGTTTGAATAACTCGACAATGTTAGTGGCACACAAATCTTAATAATCAGTCCTGATGGTGATGTAATGAGAATACGGATGAAGATGCTGATGATGATTATGATGATGACGACGACGATGATGATGGTGAATATGATGATATTATGATAGGAACGATGTGATGGTGGGTGATGACAACAATATATCGTTCTTGCGCTTCAGTCTTCGATAAAAAAATTTGATTTTATATATAAACGATTTACTGGCTGACCGACTTAAAGGCTGGCTGTCTAGCTAGCTAACTGACTGGCTGGTTGGCTGTCTGGCTGGCTGACTGACTGAGTGACTAACTGGTTAATATTTCTATTTAAACTTTTATAAAGATGACTTGAATAAATTAATTGTGTCATTATTTTGATTTAGAAATTTGTTTTATAAAAAACGCTATATAAATGTTAGTAATTGTTATAATAAGAATTATTATTATTATAAAATGTTGAAAAATATCTTAATATTTACTTCTTTATTCATTGGTTTCTGTTTAATTACTCGGTTATTTGTTTGCATTAGCATCACTTAAATAAAAGAGTAAGTCTGCGGGTGATGGTAAGTGTGCGGTGGTGAGGTGGTGATGTGTGTGTGGGTGTTTGTTGGGTGGATGTGTGTGTTGTGGGGATGTGTGTGGGAGTGTTTGTTTGTGGTAGTAGTTGGAAGCTACTGTCAACAATGATTTATGGTCATTGGCATTTAATCTTGCATTCTCAAAGTTAAATGAAAAACTTTCAATATTTGACAAATAATGTTCTGTCAAAAATGTCAAATATTAAAAGATTTTATTTAACCTTAATGAAATTCATCAAAATGATAAAAGTCTCGTTAGAAAAATTGAGAAACTCAACTACAAGTTGAATAATGCCAAAAACGCAGTGATTTTTATAAATAGTTGAATGTTTGTAGATGCACGTATGTTGGATGCGGGTTATCTGGCCGCAATTTCGTAAAAAATAAAAAATGCTGGCGACTGCGATCTAAATTAAGAAGCGGCGAACTTCCTGCAACTTGAAAGATTCAAAAATTTTACAAAATTTCGCTTGACATTTTGTATTAAAATCCGCGAAAGCACCAAACCGCACGTTTTAAAAACCGCAACTGGAAAGCTCTATTGTGCGTGCATGCATGCGAAGTTGGTGCGTGCGTGTGTGTGTGGGTAGGTGCATGTTTGCTGGCAGATATTTTGTAGAATGACATCTCATCTGTGACCTCCCTGCAACCCGCTGGCCAGAAAAAATGGAATAATCTCGGTGTGGGATCGTGTGATCTCTCTCTCTCTCTTTGTATTAGATGCTGGACAAGAAATGAATGCATGCACGCACGTACGTCGCTACTAACATTAAGAAGAAAGATATTCTAGTAAAAGTTGATTTATATAAAAATCATTATGTGCAAATATATATATATATATATATTCATTTATTTATTGAATTATATAAATGAATTGATCGTGATATATGGGCATCGGCGTTGGAGTTGATTTATGTGAAGACGTATTGACTTGAATTTTAACCGCTCACAATCATAAATAAAATAACGACTACACACAACACACAAACACAACAACACACAAACACAACTACACACAAACACAACAACATACAAACACAACAACACATAAACACAAAAACACAACAACACACAAAAACAACTACTACACAAAAACCCAACTACATACAAACACACCACACAAACCACAGACACCAACTTAACACACAGGCCAGCCAGCTTTGGACAATCAGGATGCAAATTAGATGAACGCAATTAGCAGAAAGTTTATGACGCCTGTTGAATTGAATCGCCGTTGTTGTTTTGTGGTTATGTGTTTCTTTCCTTCTTATAAATTACTACTTTTCCATCATTTCTTGCTGCCAAGGTTGTGTCTTTCCGCTGTGATTATATATATATATATATATATATATATATATATATATATATATATATATATATATTTATATATTATATTTATATATATATATATATTTTTACAATATTCTATAAAAAAAAAAATTATGGTCTATTACCAACAAATATATATATATATATCTATATATATCTATATATATATATATATATATATATATATATATATATATATTGGTAACAGACTATTGTTAACGCAACATTTCAAAAATTCAACACTACTTTCAACAGT